ACACACACACACACTCTCTCTCACACACTCACTCTCTCTCTCACACACACTCAATCACTCTCATACACACACACTCTCTCTCTCTGTCTCTTACACACACTCACTCTCTCTCACACACACACATACACACACACACACACACACATACTCTCTCTCTCTCTGTCTCTCACACACACACACACACATTTTCCATTCGTCGCACTGGTGATCTGGTTCAAAGCCCTGGCTGATTTGCTTTCCCTTTCGCTTTCTTTAGAACCAGGCTAGATTAGCGTGCCTCAGTATCCCTCTATGTTTGAGCTGGGGGAGTGCAGGGGAGAGATAGGAAGAGCAATAGAGAGAAAGAGAGAGAGTCACAGTAAACACCTCTGTCCTTAAAACAGTGAAACAATTTAAGAGCCGGAGAGATTTTTGTGGAGAGTCAGAGGGTAAATTTTGGCCAATACTTAATTCCGAATTTATTACACCTGGGAAAATTGAAAACAGGATTAAGACCCTGAAGATTTTGAGTGAACAAATTCCAGCCGTTTAATCTTCAAATTCCTGGCTGCAGCGTGCCTGTAAATTCGTTATGCTTGAAATACTGAGATCCCTGTTCCTCTGCCCTAGGCCTGGGAACTGTTTACTGCCAGTGCCACTTCGCACCTTACCCAAGCAGAACTTGTCCTAGCAAGGAGGCTTGGCACCTGAGTGTGCGAGCCTCCTGACCAAAACGGGGATGGGCAGGGCTGGAACATGCTGCTGGCTGATCTGCCATCAGCCGTGCCTTGATTTAAGACCCACTTGAGGTCACGGGTCTCTGTTGAGTATCTTCAAGTGACAGGACAGCCTGTGGGTCTTTGGGCTGATGGGATGGTGGGATCTGCATTTCAGGATTATCCTTCCTTCTCCACCGCCACTCTGCCTCCTCGTTAAAGACTTTCAGATTCAAAAGCATGAAGCAGTTTGATAGACAACTTGGAATCATTTTGAACAACAGGTCACCGACTGCACCCAGTCATTACTGTCAATGCTGTTGCAATGAGAGGAGGGCCTCAGTGTAATCTATAGAGAACCAACCATTGGCCAGATACACTCAATCAGCCAGCTCGATGGCAGAGAGTAAAGACATTAGTCAAGGGTCAGTCAACAACAACCGCTTTTATGTAGCCTCCTTAACGACGTGACCCATCCCAAGGGCATTTCACAGGGCGCAAAGAAAACCAAAAATTGTATCAGCCACATATTACAACAGGTGGCCTCATGTCAAGTAGGCTTTAAACAGCATTTTAAAGTAGAGTTGAGAGAATGCAGAGAGGGAGGGAATCCCAGAGCTTAGAGCCCCAAGCAGCTGAAGGCAATGGTGGAGCAATGGAAATCGAGGGGGCGAAAGTTATAAAATTGAGACGATTCAAAGAGCAAGTATAGGAAAAGACAATTGATAAATAATGAGACCGAGACCACCAAAATGTTAGCATAAGAGGTGGCCACTCCCTACAGTGTGGAAGCAGGCCATTCGGCCCAATGAGTCCAAAGCCATTATCAGAAGAGCATTCCACTCAGACCCACCCTATCCCATGGCTAATCCACCTAACCTGCACATCCCTGGACACTATGGGCAACTTAGCATGGCCAATCCACCTAACTTGCACATCTTTGGGCTGTGGGAGGAAACACACACAGGGAGAATGTGCAAATTCCACACAATGCGTCACCTGAGGCTGGAATTGAACCAGGGTCCCTGGCACCATGAGGCAGTGGTGCTATCCACTGAGCCACCATTCTGCAGCATCTGATTCAAACTCCCTTTCCAGAAGTCCATTACTTTGCAATGCCCTTTCAGGCAGTCCACCCCAGTGAGTAGGATGTATGAAATCTGACAGATGCTGACTCCTCCGTCCTGCTGCTAGGAAATAGCACTGAAACAGATCAGTCTAGCTCTGGCCAATCAAATGTTTCTATTTGGGAATGGAACATTAAATGAGATAGATGCTGGATCATAAGGAGCCTTTAACCTCAGTGCTTATCCACACAGGTAGGCACCACCTTTTCTTAAAATTCTTTCGTTAGATGAGAAAATCACTAGCAAGTCTGTATGTACTGCCCAACCTTTATTAACAAGAGGGCACTTAAGAATCAACTGTATTGCTGTGGGACTGGAGTTAATTGTTAGTCAGACTAGGTGAGGATGGCAGATTTCATCCCATGAAAGGCATTTGTGATAGTTTTTAACAACACTCAATAAAGGCTACATGGTCACCTTTACGGCTAGCAATTTAGTCCAGATTTTATTGAATTCAAATTTCGTTACCTGCCCTGGTGGGATTTGAACTCCAAATCCTAAGAACGTTAGCCTGACATTCTGGATCCATTTCCACCACTGCCTTCCCTAACTTACCTACTTGAGCTCTATATCCCAAATTTGTTCAACAACAGAAATTCATCATCAAGAACAACAACTTATGTATTTTTTTAAATTGGTTTCTCTCTTCATAGACATCACAAGGCCTAGTTAGATTAAAATGAGCTCATATAGTCCATCACACTTTTCTATTTCATAGAATCCCTACAGTGTGGAAACAGGCCCTTCAGCCCAACTAGTCCACACTGACCCTCAGAGCATCCCACCCAGACCCATCCCCCTATAACCCACACATTCCTGAACGCTATGGGCAATTTCCCATGGCCATACCACCTAGTCTGCACATCTTTGGTCTGTGGGAGGAAAGTGGAGCACCCAGAGGAAACCCACGCAGACACGGGGAGAACGTGCAAACTCTATACAGACAGTTACCTGAGGGTGGAATCGAACCCAGGTCCCTGGCGCTGTGAGGCAGCAGTCCTAACCACTGAGCCATGGTGCCAGCCTAATTTATGTAGAACCACAATGGAATGTCCCAAGACACTTCACAGGAGTGTTACTAATCAAATGTTGCACTGAGCTGCTTAAGGAGATATGAGGCCAGCAGCTTAGTCAAAGATGGGGGTGCTAGGGAGTGTTTTAAAGGAGGAAAGCAAGGCAGAGAAATGGAGAGGGAATTCCGGGCCTTGGGCAGCAGGTAGCTCAAGGTAGGCTGACTAATGGTGGAGTGACTAAAACTGGGGAAGCTCAAAGACACCAGAGTTGGAGCAGCTTGGGAAACTCCAAAGGTTTGAAGGTGGGGGGATGCTGAAGGACATTACGGTGATGTAGGGGGAGGCAGTTGAAAATGAGGAGAACTTGAGAAGCAAGACTTGCTTGATTGAGGGTTAGCAAGCACAGGAGGGGTGGGGCTGATAAAGGAATGGGTCTTGCCACGAATTAAGACGGGGCGGCAAAGTTTCGGATGACAGAGGGTAGAATGTGGCAGACCAGTGGGTAACCCAAGACGTGAATGAAATGATCACACGGGGCAATGTTGTGCAGGTAGAAATAGGTGGTCTTACTGACGGTGTGATGATCAGTCTTAGAAGTTCCAGGGGACCTCTAACATATCACAGGCTTTTACCAGAGGGAATTGCAGATTTCCACAAGGCTTTATGCGATTTCCCTCTTGAAGGATCTAATCTTAAAGGCTGTGTTTGCTGACATGAGCTCATTTACATCTTTGCATGAGCACTAACGCAGAAATGTGCACGTACATGATTCCAGCAATGTTAGATGGTGTAAAATCTAATGTCGTGCACGTGTGTCTTCACAGTCATAACCCCTCTCTTTCCATTTAAATGTACCTACATGAATTAGCGCACCAGTATGTGCTGTCAATGGACACAGCCAATTTTGAAATTACAGTCCCCTTCATCCCTTTAGAGAAAACATTTCCCCTGTGTATCTATTTCCCATCAAACGCACTGTTGTCCCTAACCTTCTAAATTCCATAAGGAATGCAGTTCAAATCTGTGCAGCCTGTCTTCGTCAGGCCACATGGTGAGACAAGTCAGAGGAGGTCTCATTCTCTGTGCATTCGCAGCTCTTAGTTGGAATAGCAACAGAGAAGGCCGCTGTATCAGGAATTGCAATTCCCTTGGTTCTTGGCCTACGCTGCAACTAGCTGTCCCCCCACTTGCCTGCCCCAACTAAATGCCAGGAATAACACAGAGCGCTGAACGAGTTAAAAAGAAAGTTTTCCACCAGTTAATGAAAGCCAGAGGAGCTACTTATTAAAGCCAGTCGGGAGACAGCGGGGAGGGAATACCAGGCTCCAGAAGTATTGCAGTGCGTTCATTCAGTCAACACAAATGGAAGCGAATTTTAAAAAGCCCCTTTAACGTCTTTGTATCGCATTTTCTCTGCTTTATTTCTGTTCTGTTGCCACTGGTGCCTTTTCCATAGCTTGCTTAAGCTCCAGGTTGCTTAGGTGATAGACTGGCTATCCAACTATGGAGGAGCAGCATAGTCAACTGCCTTCACTCCTACCCCTGCACTCATATTTTTCAAAAAATTCTCCTAACCAAGCTCTGTGGGGAACCTTATCAAAGGCCTTCTGAGTATCCACGTACGCAAAACCCATTGACTCACCTTTATTAGTTCTGTTAGTAACACCTTCAAAAGACTTCATGAAGTTTGCTAGGCACAATTTTTCATTCACAAATCCACGCTGAATATGTCCAAACAGATCATTTTTATCCAAGTGTCCACTTATCACTTTCTGATAGATTCTAGTGTCTTCCTACTACTAATGTATGGCTGACAGGTCCGTACTTTCCTGTGTTGTCCCCACACCCTGTTCATTTCTTAAAGAGCAAGGTGATATTTCTGAGTCTCTAATCTCACAAATCATTCCGGCACGGTGGCTCAGTGGTTAGCACTGCTGCCTCACGGCGCCAGGGACACAGGTTTGATTCCAGCCTCGGGCGACTGTCTGTGTGGAGTTTGCACATTCTCCCCGTGCCTGCATGGGTTTCCTCCGGGTGCTCCGCTTTCCTCCCACAGTCCAAAAATGTGCCGGCTAGGTGGACTGGCCATGGAAAATTGCCCATAGTGTTCAGGAATGTGTAGCTTTCAGGGTTATAGGGGGATGGGTCTGGGTGGGATGCTCCAAGGATTAGTGTGGACTTGTTGGGCCGAAGGGCCTGTTTCCACACTGTAGGGATTCTATGATGATCTATGATCTACTCCAGAATCTATCACGTTTGTAGAGTCATTCAGCACAGAAACAGACCAAGCAGTCCATCCTGACCATATTCCCAAACTAAATTAGTCCCACCTACCTGCACTTGGCCCATATCCCTCCAAACATTTCTTTTTAATGTACTTGCCTAAATGTCTTTTAAATGTTGTAACTGTACTCCCATCCACCAATTCCTCTGGAAGTTCATTTCACACACGAAGCACTGTCTGTGTAAAAAAATTACCCCTCATGTCTTTTATAAATTTTTCTCCTCTCACCTTAAAATTATGCCCCCTAGTCTTGAAATCCCCTACCCTCGGGAAAAGAAACACCTGCCATTCACCTTATCTATACCCTTCAAGATTTTATAAATCTCTGTCAGGTCGCCTGCCAATCTCCTACGCTCCAGTGAAAAATATCCCAGCCTATTCAATTTATCTTCAATAACTCAAACCCTCCATTGCCAGCAACATCCTGGTAAATCTCTTCTGGACCTCCTCCAGCTTAATAATATCCTGCCTAATAAGAGGGTAACCAGAACTGGACACAGTGCTCCAGAAGAGGCCTCACCAACATCCTGTACAACCTCAACACAATATCCCAACTCCTATACTCAAAAAGACTGAGCAATGAAGGCAAGCATGCTAAATGCCTCCTTAACCACCCTGTCCACCTGTGACGCAAACTTCAAAGAATTATATACCTGAACCCCTAGGTCTCTCTTCACTACCATGGAAGATTTTTACCAATTATCCCTACAGGCACCTCTTTCAAAATTCAAGAGGTGTTCAAGTTAGTATTTACCCACAGGAGTCTTTGTCTCATCCGTCCCAACTTTAACAACTGCTGGGACAACACAACGTTTGGTTTCTGTCAAGATTTGAACTCAGATCGTTGG